CAACTAAATTAAACATCACTGAGCCTGGTCATTTGCGTTTTGATGGGTGACCGGTTGCGAACATGAAGTGTTTGCGAATAGTTGATCTGTTGGTGGTCTAAAGGGCTTACGTCCGATCAATGGGTGACCGTTTGCTAAATTAAACATCACTGGGCCTGGTCATTTGCTGATGGGTGACCGTTTGGGAATACAAGGTGTTTTAAGTTGGATCTGTTGGTGGTCTAAAGGGCTTACGTCCGATCAACTAAATTAAACATCACTGAGCCTGGTCATTTGCTGATGGGTGACCGTTTGCGAATACAAGGTGTTTTAAGTTGGATCTGTTGGTGGTCTAAAGGGCTTACGTCCGATCAACTAAATTAAACCTCACTGAGCCTGGTCATTTGCTGATGGGGACCGTTTGCGAATACAAAGGTATTTTATGTGTTGGATCTGTTTGATAAAGGGAATCAACTAAATTAAACATCACTAGGCCTGGTCATTTGCTGATGGGTGACCGTTTGCGAATACAAGGTGTTTTAAGTTGGATCTGTTGGTGGTCTAAAGGGCTTACGTCCGATCAACTAAATTAAACCTCACTGAGCCTGGTCATTTGCTGATGGGTGACCGTTTGCGAATACAAAGTGTTTTAAGTTGGATCTGTTGGTGGTCTAAAGGGCTTACGTCCGATCAACTAAATTAAACATCACTGAGCCTGGTCATTTACTGATGGGTGACCGTTTGCGAATACAAGGTGTTTTAAGTTGGATCTGTTGGTGGTCTAAAGGGCTTACGTCCGATCAACTAAATTAAACATCACTGAGCCTGGTCATTTGCTGATGGGTGACCGTTTGCGAATACAAGGTGTTTTTAAGTTGGATCTGTTGGTGGTTAAAGGGCTTACGTCCAATCAACTAAATTAAACATGTTGGTGGGTGACCGTTTGCAATCAACTGGAAATTGGTGGTCTAAACATTACGTCCTATCAGCTAAATTAAACATCACTAAGACTGGTCATTTGCTGATGGGTGACCGTTTGCTAATATAAAGTGTTTTAAGTTGGATCTGTTGATTGTCTAAAGGGCTTACGTCCGATCAACTAAATTAAACATCACTGAGCCTGGTCATTTGTTGATGGGTGACCGTTTGCGAATACAAAAGGTTTTTAAAGTTGGATCTGTCGGTGGTCTAAAGGGCTTACGTCCGATCAACTAAATTAAACATCACTGAGCCTGGTCATTTGCTGATGGGTGACCGTTTGCGAATACAAGGTGTTTTAAGTTGGATCTGTCGGTGGTCTAAAGGGCTTACGTCCGATCAACTAAATTAAACATCACTGAGCCTGGTCATTTACTGATGGGTGACCGTTTGCGAATACAAAGGTGTTTTATGTCCTATCAATTAAATTAAACATTGGATCTGTTGGTGGTCTAAAGGGCTTACGTCCGATCAACTAAATTAAACATCACTGAGCCTGGTCATTTGTTGATGGGTGACCGTTTGCGAATACAAGGTTTTTTAAGTTGGATCTGTTGGTGGTCTAAAGGGCTTACGTCCGATCAACTAAATTAAATCTCACTGAGCCTGGTCATTTTGCTGTGGGTGACCGTTTGCGAATACAAAGGTGTTTTAAGTTGGATCTGTTGGTGGTCTAAAGGGCTTACGTCCGATCAACTAAATTAAACATCACTGAGCCTGGTCATTTGCTGATGGGTGACCGTTTGCGAATACAAGATGTGTTTTAAGTTGGATCTGTTGGTGGTCTAAAGGGCTTACGTCCGATCAACTAAATTAAACATCACTGAGCCTGGTCATTTGCTGATGGGTGACCGTTTGCGAATACAAGGTGTTTTTAAGTTGGATCATGTCGGTGGTTTAATAAAGGGCTTATCGTCCAATCAACTAAATTAAACATCACTGAGCCTGGTCATTTGCTTTGACCGTTTTGAGGTGTTTTAAGTTTGATCTGTTGGTTCTCAAACTTTACGTGAATACCGTTGGTGGTCTAAAGGGCTTACGTCCGATCAACTAAATTAAACATCACTGAGCCTGGTTTTGCTGATGGGTGACCGTTTGCGAATAAAAGGTGTTTTAAGTTGGATCTGTTGGTGGTCCAAAGGGCTTACGTCCGATCAACTAAATTAAACATCACTGAGCCTGGTCATTTTTTGATGGGTGACCGTTTGCGAATACAAAGGTGTTTTTAAGTTGGATCTGTTGGTGGTCTAAAGGGCTTACGTCCGATCAACTAAATTAAACATCACTGAGCCTGGTCATTTGCTGATGGGTGACCGTTTGCGAATACAAAAGGTGTTTTTAAGTTGGATCTGTCGGTGGTCTAAAGGGCTTACGTCCAATCAACTAAATTAAACATCACTGAGCCTGGTCATTTGTTGATGGGTGACCGTTTGCGAATACAAGGTGTTTTAAGTTGGATCTGTTGGTGGTCTAAAGGGCTTACGTCCGATCAACTAAATTAAACATCACTGAGCATTTGCGAATACAAGGTGTTTTTGCTGATGGGTGACCGTTTTATCAACGAATACATTGACCGTTTGTTTTAAGTTGGATCTGTTGGTGGTCTAAAGGGCTTACGTCCGATCAACTAAATTAAACATCACTGATGGTGAGCCTGGTCATTTGCTGATGGGTGACCGTTTGCGGCGTGGTTTTTTAAGTTGGATCTGTTGGTGGTCTAAAGGCTTTACGTCCGATCAACTAAATTAACCATCACTGAGCCTGGTCATTTGCTGATGGGTGACCGTTTGCGAATACAAGATGCTTTTAAGTTGGATTTCTGTGACCGGTGGTCTAAAGGGCTTACGTCCGATCAACTAAATTAAACATCACTGAGCCTGGTCATTTGCTGATGGGTGACCGTTTGCGAATACAAGGTGTTTTAAGTTGGATCTGATGGTGGTCTAAAGGGCTTACGTCCAATCAACTAAATTAAACATCACTGAGCCTGGTCATTTGCTGATGGGTGACCGTTTGCGAATACAAGTTGTTTTTAAGTTGGATCTGTTGGTGGTCTAAAGGGCTTACGTCCGATCAACTAAATTAAAAACTGAGCCTGGTCACTGAGCTTGCGAATACAAGGTGTTTTGTTGATGGGTGACCGAGCCTTCATTTGTTCATGGGTGACCGTTTGCGAATACAAGGTGTTTTAAGTTGGATCTGTTGGTGGTCTAAAGGGCTTACGTCTGATCAACTAAATTAAACATTAGCCTGGTCAATGGGTGATCGAATACAAGTGTTTTTTAATCTGTTGGTGGTCTAAGGGCTTACGTCGTTCGGGTGGTCATGGGTGACCGATTGCGCAAGGTTTTTTAAGTTGGATCTGTCGGTGGTCTAAAGGGCTTATCAATCAGCCTAAATTAAACATCACTGAGCCTGGTCATTTGTTGATGGGTGACCGTTTGCGAATACTAGGTGTTTTAAGTTGGATCTGTTGGTGGTCTAAAGGGCTTACGTCCGATCAACTAAATTAAACATCACTGAGCCTGGTCATTTGTTGATGGGTGACCGTTTGCGAATACAAAGGTGTTTTTAAGTTGGATCTGTTGGTGGTCTAAAGGGCTTACGTCCAATCAACTAAATTTTAAACAATATAAAGGTTTTCACTAAGCTATCTGGTCATTTGTTGATGGGTGACCGTTTGCGAATACAAGGTGTTTTAAGTTGGATTTGTTGGTGGTCTAAAGGGCTTACGTCCGATCAACTAAATTAAACATCACTGAGCCTGGTCATTTGCTGATGGGTGACCGTTTTGCGAATACAAAAGGTGTTTTAAGTTGGATCTGTCGGTGGTCTAAAGGGCATACGTCCAATCAACTAAATTAAACATCACTGAGCCTGCTCATTTGTTGATGGGTGACCGTTTGCGAATACAAAGGTGTTTTTAAGTTGGATCTGTTGGTGGTCTAAAGGGCTTACGTCCGATCAACTAAATTAAACATCACTGAGCCTGGTCATTTGTTGATGGGTGACCGTTTGCGAATACAACAAGGTGTTTTAAGTTGGATCTGTTGGTGGTCTAAAGGGCTTACGTCCGATCAACTAAATTAAACATCACTGAGCCTGGTCATTTAAACATCTGATGGGTGACCGTTTGCGAATACTAGGTGTTTTAAGTTGGATCTGTTGGTGGTCTAAAGGGCTTACGTCCGATCAACTAAATTAAACTAAATCACTGAGCCTGGTCATTTGCTGATGGGTGACCGTTTGCGAATACAAGGTGTTTTTAAGTTGGATCTGTCGGTGGTCTAAAGGGCTTACGTCCAATCAATTTAAATTAAACATCACTGAGCCTGGTCATTTTTGTTGATGGGTGACCGTTTGCGAATACTAGGTGTTTTAAGTTGGATTTGTTGGTGGTCTAAAGGGCTTACGTCCGATCAACTAAATTAAACCTCACTGAGCCTGGTCATTTGCTGATGGGTGACCGTTTGCGAATACAAGGTGTTTTAAGGTGATTTAAGTTGGATCTGTTGGTGGTCTATGAATAAGGGCTTACGTCCAATCAATCAACTAAATTAAACCTCACTGAGCCTGGTCATTTGTTGATGGGTGACCGTTTGCGAATACAAGGTGATTTAAGGATCTGTCGGTGGTCTAAAGGGCTTACGTCCGATCAACTAATTAAATGGTCATTTGGTATAAGGGCTTAAATTAAACACGTCCGATCATTTGTTGAACCGTTTAAACATTTTTAAGTTGGATCTGTTGATGATCAAACATGCTTATGTCCATATCATGGAGAAACACCGGTTCTCGTCCGACTAACGAAGTTATGCAACTCCGAGCTAGTTCAGTTCATTAATGGGTGATCGCTTACGAATACAAGTTGTTGCAAGTTGTATGTGCCGATGGTCTAAAGGGCTTATGCCATATCAGGCAGAAACACTCGTTCTCTTCCGATAAACGAAATTAAGCAGCACTTTGCGAGGTCAGTACATTGATGGGTGACTGTTTCCGAATATAAAGTGTTGTACTTTAAATGTGCTGTTGATCTAGCGGGC